ATAGTAATTTGAGAAAATACCCCCAATTAATTAGTATTTTTTGGTTCTGCTTCTCCCAGATTCTAGTGTTGTAATTATTAGGATATATTTGATGTGTAAAAACAACCATCAAACGGTGTACACGGGGAGTAAAAAGTTCCATCAGGAGCTTATCTGTTGGTTGTTTATTTGTTTTGTCTTGTTGCAGGAGAAAGAGTCCCCTCCACTGAGTGCTGACCTTGTCAGTTGTCTGATTGTCCAGGTGTTTCAACAGCGCCGGCAACAATGGAAAACGAGAGTAAAAAACAACGGACGCTGGTAAACAGCCTCTGCCGTGACCTTTGTGGCCTTTTATTCTCAGTCTAACGAGACAACAAAGAGAAATGCTGCAGGTCGGATTCTCTTCCTAAACAGTAAGCATAACATGAAGGCAGAGAGGCCGAGAGCAGGGCAACAGTGGGAACTGCTGCCGTATCTGCTGGGCTTTTATTTCACACAGTGGCTGCGCTGTAGTGGCTGAGTGATTAATGTCTGTCCATAAAATGACCATGAATTCATTAACTCTAGTTTGACTAATTAAATTAACTAAAAGTGTTCCATTGCTATTGTTTTAGCATCTTTGTCCCAAACCCATTGTTTTTACAGTTCCAGGTGTTAAAGAATGAATTAAATTGTCAGAATGTTTTTTTTGTTTTTTTGCAGATGTCCATAGTCCAAATTTATATCACTTTTTTACATTTGAAACTCAGTATAGACCAGGGGTGGCCAACCAGTCAGAGGGTAAGAGCCACATTTTTTACCGTGTTACTGCAGAGCCACCTGATGTACATGGGGACACATGAACTGCCCCATCCCTTTACAAAAACTAAATACAACTCTCCCGCTCTTTTAAAACCTCCTGTGTACATTGTCATCTGTGGGAATTGGGTTTTCCTTAAGTCATTTGCTCTAACGCCCATCACCATGAGATTCACATAGCGTAAAAAACAACGAAACATAAAATTCGACACAAACGTAAGAGCCGCATGAAACCAGGCACAGAGCCACAGGTTGGCCATGCCTGGTATAGCATATATGAAGAGAAGGCAGATTTACCCAGATCTCCCTGACAGATGTCTGTCCTACTGGCTCCTCCAACGATAAACTGAGGGTTGTCACAAATTTCCTGCAGAAGAAAATACACAAAACATGTTACTGTGTGAATGAAAATCTCCCACAGATGAGAACACTCTACTCTATCTGTACAGTATATGTGTATCAGTGTCATATGTGCATCTCAGCAGTTGTTTTTTTTTCAGTAGTGTGATGTTAAATGTCTCAGCCTACCTCCAGGACCCTAACCCAACTTGAACCTCTTACCTTAGGCCTCTTCCAGACGATGTTCTTGACCTTGTTGGACTTGTGCCCCAGCTCCTTGAAGCCCAGAGACTCAACAGTGGCTGGGGAAGAGTCGTCCTCGAACAGACTCTTCTTCTGGAGACACTCCTGTCTCAGCGTGTTGAAATCCTGGCCGTTGAATCGCAGGGGTTTGTTCAGAGACCCTTCTCCGTCTCTCCTCTCTCTCTCCCGGATCAGCCGGTCGCAGAAAAAGCCCGACGGTGTGTACGGCATTTTCTTTCTCCTGACTTTAACTTCCTTCTTAGAAAATGACTTCTTCCACTTGTATTTAAGACTTAGGAACCTGAAACAGCCTGGCATAAATCCAAACAGCTGAGGTCTGATTGGCTCTGTGTCTTTCTGTGACGTCTTCTCAGCTTCTCTTCGTCATGCCAGATGCGTTCACCACCTACACACACATGCACAGAAGCTCACGCAGCACACACACACGTTCCCTTCTCATTGGCCACTGCGAACAATGGTGTGTGCCCATCAGTGGTCACCTAACGTTATTGTTTGGTGAGACAAAAGCCATCGGGCTGCCGCATAGTGGTGAGCGGAGGCCTTATCTCAGCAGAAGGTATTCAAAAACTTTAAACCTGTTCTCAATGGAGATCAGCTTTGAGCAGCTTCAGCATAATCACAGCAGAATGATGGGACAGAAAAGAGAAGTTTTAGCTCACTAAGTGCCGTTTTTATTCACAGTCTTCATTTTGTGTAATTTGCAGAATAATTTGCAACCCACAGATTTAAAGTCATTTATTGTTATTGCTGTCAATTACTGGGTTAAATGGCCACAGAATAACTTAATAACTTTGAGTTTATTGAGTATCAAAGGAGCATCATCCAATGGCCTTGCATTGAGATGAATCTTCCCTCTTTGTGCTTCCATTTTTTTAATTAGTTGATACATAACAAAATATTGTCACTTAATGTTTTAACTGAAATTAGTTGATACATAAAATATTGTCACTTAATGTTTTAACTGTATGATGAGACCCTACATAAATAAATACAAAGATAACCTATATTTAACCTAATAATTATTATGTTGGTGAAAATAATGTAAATATTACAGGCTGTCCATCAATTACATATTATTATGTTGGTGAAATATTACAGGCTGTCCATCAATTACATTTTTTAATCGACCGCTCAATCATTAATAATCTAAATACATTTTTTAAATGTTTAAATATGATCAAATATGACTTATTTGCCAACAGACAAATAACTGAATATAGATGTGAATGATGAAATAATGGAATTACAAATATGGAAACATGTCAGGAAATATATGCCAAACTCCATCTCCAAATTTAGCTTCATAGAGTTGATGGACTTTAGTCATGTGCTGTCCTGTGCATCTTAACGGAGCTTTCAAGCTTTTCATATCAGAAATATTTGAATAATATACATATTTAATTTGAATAGATTCAAGGTTAAAAATTAAATTAAATTACATTAATCTTTAATTAAAAAATGTTGTTTGATAAAGTCCATTATTTACCAGTTTAAAATACTTGTCCTGATTAATTAGGAGTAAATTATGTTGCCATAAAACTGCAGTATCTGACAGATGTGACAATAATATAAATTAAAAATGTTAAAATCATGTTTAATGATCAGTGTTCAAGGAGGTCTTTGAAATTATTCTCAGTTTGACAATTGTCACAAAACATGTTGCCCAACATTCACATATCAGAAGAAATCAGTCATGAAATATCTGGTTTTATTTTTAACAGTAGAGCCTCTTGTGGCCTAAAAGCCCAGATCCATAGTTAACCTGTGATCTGTATCTCCCAGTCCACGGTCACCCTGAGGTCCAGACTGTTCAGTGTGAGCTGGCAGCTTGTCTGTTTGAACTCAAAGTCCACAGGAGTTTCCTTGCCATCTGCAAATCAAAGAGAAAAAATGGGTTACAATACAATTCTTGTTTTTTCTTCATCTGTACTGTAGCGGTTGATTATTCACCTGACATTAGCACAGTCACCGCAGACGGTCGGCGCTTTACACCCAGGATGGTGACGGAGCGTACAGTGGTATCACAGTGATAGGACCCATCGTCAGTGGCAGAACTGAGCAGTGTCATTAACAGAAACAACAACAATAGACATGACGTCATCATCAATCAGGTGTCTTTTGTTTTAAGTTGTTACCACAGTGTCACTGAAAAACATCTTTGCTGCTTAACCTCCACTCATGTGCATTTAATTAAGAAAACTCAGAAATCTCACATGACCTTTTAATCTGTTGTTTTTCAGGAGGTGCGACTGTGACTCACCGACAGAGCAGACGTCCTGACAGCAGGCTGAACCTGCGCAGACAGAAGGACTTTCTGTCTCTGTAGCTGAATGAGTGGCCATCGTCCAGGTACAACTCACCGTCAGCAGCTCCCTGCAGAGGAGGTGAGGAGAAACATTTCTTATTAAATGGTACAATTGTCAGGGGAAAAAATCCTTAAGAGATCAGACAGAAATGTTGCTTTAAGTTGTGGTTACAACTTGTAGCATGTCTAAAAAACATCTGTTAGTAGCTTTTTCCCTAAAAAATAATCTAAGAAAGGACGTTTAATCTGAAAAGAATGTTCATTTACAAAGCCTAAAAACATAAATAAATAAAAACCATAAATATAAAAACATTAACCTCACAGGCAAACATTCCTATGTTTTTTTCTTCTTGGTTGCATAACAACTTCAACTGGTTCCTATGTTTTTTTCTTCTTGGTTGCATTTTATTTGTGTTCTTTAAAGAATTCATATGGTTGAGTCATGTTTTTCCTGTGGTTCAAGAGCTGCATTAATTTTCAGAGATAGAGCAGTGCCCTCTTGTGGTCATAAATGATATGGGCTGTATTTTTGATAAATAAGTCACAGGAAACCACTAAAATAGTGTGAGAATATAGTAGAGAAAATATGGTCAGCCTTTTCTCATGTCTACCTAACATTATTAAAACTGTTCTAGCAAAAACATTTAAACCCTCTACTATAACTACCTGAGAGTTTAGAGCCACCGTGAGTGACAGAGGTAGCTGCTGCTGCTCAGCTGTGCAGGAACCACTCCCTGTTGACCTGCAGACCACTGATCCACCACGCTGGAACATAGGAACCTTTACACAAAGTAAGAAAAAAAAACACATTCTTTTTACATCACATGGCCTAATATACTGTAATCAAACAAGAAGCCCCTACTGTCAGGACCATAGTTAGTACGTACTGTGTCCAGGGTGACAGGAAGGCTCAGCATCCTCCCTCCACTGTAGGCCTTTGAAGACTCAACGTCATACCAGACCTAAAAGACAAAAAAAAACAAAAACGAATCCAGTAAAGTCCACACTGAGATGTAGGGCGCATGTCTGAAGTCATCACTTGTTGCTTGTTTTACCTCAGCAGATCCAGGAAGTAAGAGCTGGACTTCCTGAACCCCAGGGTCAGTGACAGGAGAGACCAGCAGAGCTCCTCCTGCATCAGACCAGAGAAAACATCTGAGTGAAGTGCATTTATTACAGAATAACAGCTGCTGTCCAGACATTAATATCAAATAATCACCAATCATGTACTGGTGGTCCACAGTGAAGGTGGTGTGTTCAGTTGGAAACTGCACCCACAGAGGTCTGTGTGGGAGAGAACCAGGGTTTTATGGAGTCAAAGACCAGAACCAAACCAGTGTCTGAAACCCCCTCCACCCTATTTTGTATTGGTCTCAGTGTTATGTGTGACATTGTCTACTTTGTAGGGCACTCAATGTATCCCACAATGCACTGCCAAATTTAGTGTACATCAAATGTACACCAGTGTATCCCACAGTGCACTGCCGAATTTAGTGTACATCAAATGTACACCAGCCAAGTCATATACATCATATCAAACGTCTGTCCGTTTTAATTGTGTGACAGTAATGAGGTCACTAACTGTGTGCTAATGTAGTGTCCAAAAGTGTTTTTGAAACTACATATATGTAATTCTCTATATAGGAAGTAGGGAATGAGACACAGGCAGTGACCTCTAGTGACAGAAAGTCAGCACTGTGTTCGTACCTGATGATTACCTGCAGAGATGGACAGAACTCACCTGATTGGAAGCAGAGCAGATGTGTGAGCCTGGTAGAACAGAGTGTACCAGTATGGCAGCAGACAGTACCTGAGAACACCACAGACACAGGTCACTCAGTTTCCCCAGTGTTGGATCAATAAAGGTTACAACCTTACAACTTCTCAATCATCTGAAGTAGACACCGCCATGTCGTAGTGAACTGTCTTACAGACAGAACTGTACCTCTGTTGGATTACAGTGCGTATTCTATCAGTGACCTCCTCTCCAAAGAGCCACGGCTCTCTGCGGTTCGTCTCTTTGGCAGAGTGACCCCGAAAAAAGGGCTGCAGGGCAGCAGTCTGGTACCAGCGGACCAGCAGCTCCGGGTCTGGATCCTGAGTAAACCCACCGACGTCGGCTACAACACGAGGGAAGGCGAGATTGAACAAATGGAGAAACAAATGCAGGACACGACAGGTCGTACTGTATGTGCTATTTCAGTAGACCTCACCTCCACAAAACATAATTCCTGCCACACTCAGAGACAAAAGCATGGGAATGGAGATCTTCAGATAGTCCCAGTTGGCCACGTTATCACCGGTCCATACAGCACCTTATTATTAAGACAGAACATCAGCTCAACACAAATATCGAGAACAAAAACAGGAGAATGTTCCCAGTATTATATTCTCAAAGACTCACCAAACCTCTGTGAGCCAGCGAAGAAGGAGCGAGAAAGAACGAAAGGTCTCAGTGAGCCTCCTGAGCGACTCATCAAACCTTCAACTGTGGCCATGTGCTGTAAGGAAACATGAACTGGATTTTTTAAACACCTCCAACACTCAGTGCTGGTTTTATGTTTGGATAAAAGTGTCGCATGTACAGCAGACATTGTGACAGGTCACAGCAGTAAACCACAGGTCAGTTTAAGGAGTAGGTCTGGTTTTTTTGTTGTCAAGAACCAGATGCTCATTTTGACTAAAAAAACTTTCCAGGAAAAAATAATATAATTCAGTCAGTTCACCTGGTAAAAACCATACAGATTGTGCAGTTCTCTGTGCTCCCAGCCCCCATGATGCACTGCATCCTTTGGCATGGTTTGCTCCGGCCCGTCAAACACAGACGGTTCATTCATGTCATTCCACACAAATAAAGATGGAGTGGAACCCTGCAGCAGACGGATGACAATTACACAACTACTTTTAAGGTTCACCAAAGCTGCAGTGGACTTCAGACTTCACAGAGACGGCCTCACTCCTGCTGGCTGCTGGTTCTGGCGATTGTGTCTACACTTACTTTGTACTTTTGCAGAGCAAAGCATTTGGAGTACCAGGCTCTGGTGGCAGCATTACTGAAGTCAAGGTAGCAGGACTTCCCTGAAACACGTGGTCAAATTGAACTTCAAATAAAACAAACATAAATAAATAGTATGTTTTAATAGAACAAAATAACAATCAACTCAACAATTGTGTTTAAATAACAATCCTCACCAGGCCAACATGAGCCGTGGTAAATCTCTCCTCCTCTGTCTTTAACAAAATGTCCTCCGTCTCTGACCTCACAGAACAGCGGCCAATCAGGATCAGCTTTGATGTGAGGATCATTAATAACCACCAGCTACAAACAAAGAGACACAGGTCATGATGTAAACTCAAAGGTTTGTGATCTGTTACAGCCCGAAGCTGACCTTCCTCTTCTTCTTCTCCAGGTGGCGCTGCAATCCAGCAGGATCAGGAAAATGAACATGGTCCCAAGTGAAGTAACGCTTCCCATCAGTGTGCTCAATGTCCAACCAGATGACGTCGTAGGGGATGTGGTGAAGATCGAATCCAGCATCAACAGACTTGACATCAGCCTCGCTGTCGTAGTTCCAGCGACACTGGTGATACCCCAGGGCAAAGAGAGGAGGCAGAGCCTGGAATCCTGACACAGCAGGAAAAAAGAGTGTTACATAAAGTCTTACTTCCACATGGTTAGAAGAATGAGGTAGAATGAATACTGGGTGTGTACCCGTCAGTTGGGCATACTGTCTGAAGACCTGCTGTGGACTCGGTCCCAGCAGAACCATGCAGTCTATGACACCACTCTCTGACAGGAAGTGGACGTCTGTCAGAGGCTGTGTCCTCCGTCTCTTAACTGGGGGTGTTTGGTCATCCTAGATCAGTAGCTCAAGTCAGTTGATCAAATTGCAGTATTAATTACACTTCATCATGATTAACTGAAATAACTCAAACTCCCTAAATATGACAAAAAACTTTTTACTTTTACTGTATATTCCTGGAACAGAAAGACAAACAGCTGGGGCTCGAGATTGAAAATAAAAGCGAAAGTGAATTATTATTAGCAGTGTAGGGACAGTGACAGGTGGATTCAAGCCTGTGACCTTTCAGACACAAGTCAGCTTCCTTAACCACCACTGCCCCACAGTGATATAGGACCGAATGTTAGTATTGTGTTGGGTGAGTTCTAAGTTGTGCATGATGTGCATGAGTCAAAGCATGTAGGAATATGAACATTAACAGTAACAGACAAAGAACTGCCATGACAACATAACACCAGTGCATCAAAATATAAAAGCGTAGAAAAGTCTTAGAATGTCATTCAGAAACTATTATCGTACAAATAAGTACATGCTGTGAAAACTACACATATTTGTACCTGGCTGTCACTGCTATTAATGTTCACAAATGTCTCTGATGCGTTCAACCAGAACACTCCCAGAGTTCTGTGGGGTTTGTGGGCGACCAGCAATGGCACGGATCCATACAGACCCAGGCGGCTGTGCAGGTCGTAAGCAAAGACGTCCAGGTTGTAGAGACGATAGGGTTCACCATCTCTGAGCAAACATTCAAAGTGAAATTGTATAACAGAATAACAATCAGTGAAGATACAGTAATAGGTCAACTAATCAATAATCAATCAGAGTTCAATCAATCTTAGTATCGTCTGTTTTCTTTGCTCCTCAATGACAATAAAGTAACAACTTGGTGTTGTAGACAAAAACAAAAGTTTGTTTTGGGTGCAGTGACTAGGAAATGAACCGTCTCTAGGTCCACTGTCAAAATGTCTCCTGTTGTTTACCTGGTGTCTTTGAGCTGCAGGCTGTCAGCGTGTTCTGGAAGACCGTACAGGTGACTGAAGCCATGGAGACGGACGTCCGCACCAACGCTGCTGGGACCTGGAGGAGTGTGTCTGTATGTTACTGCTTCATTTTCATTCATTTGCAGAAGAGTTTCTGTTTTCCAAAAATAATTAATAGTAAATGGTAATAAATTCAGTCAGAAACGGAAATTAAATGTATTATGTTTTGTTAAAACAAAAGCACTTAAATCATTTATTTTTTCTGTGCATATATGTGGGCAGGCAACATGCACAAAAGTGTCCTTTTCTGGAGGTTTGTTTTGAGTAAAGCTATATTTTCATATCATAATTAAGAGAAACGCAAAGACAAACCATTAGCTTTGATGTCCACAAAGGTTTTGAAAGTTTCTTTCCACGGTGAATCCTGAGGATTAGTTTTTGAAGCAGTTAGAAGAACAAAGTTAAAGAGGAACAGGTCATACAGAGGTGCTAACAATAATAATATAATAATATATTGGAGGTAAAACTACTGGATTATTAATAATATATTGGAGGTAAAACTACTGTTAGTGTCCTTTTACCTCACTGCCAGGATATGAGTCACTGAAGGAAAAGAGGAAAAGGTCATTTTTAAATGTTAATACAACAGACATGGCACTAAGAGCAAACAGTTCTAGTCTATTTCTAGTCTATTGGTCTAGTCCTCTAAGTAGAGGAATCCATCTCTCTTCTGGATTGGAGTCCACCTTCACAGCAAGATGCATCTGGAACACATTATGGATCCAGAAACATTTGCTCTTCCATGTGCTAATTAAATTGTTGCAATTATTGTCTAACATAGACTGGGATCTTCTGTTGTATGAACAGCAGTAGAAAACTTAAAACATACAGTATGTAAATGTATAAACAACTGCTGTGATATCACGTTATAATGTGCATTAACTCGTTACAGACCGCACGGTTCTTGCCTGGGTGGATGCTGCAGGGCCTCAAACCACAGCTTTTCTTTAGAATTAAAGGTGAGCAGCTGTTCACCTTCACACAGGATCTCTAGTCTGAAAGGAAAACGCCACACAGAGATCTTGTGACGTCCTGACGACCAAGTGAAGGTGACAGAGTCCTTGGTCTGCTTCTCTACTCTTAACCTGCCAGACAAAATCAATGAAGATTTTGTTATGAAGTTTTAAATGAAGTCTAGGTATTAAAAAAAAAGGAACTAATATTCTGAGAGAATGGTCATAACATGTTGGTGAAGCAGAGAAGGAACTTTTGTTTCTAGTGCAGAATGTTATGTCAGAGATAATAAAGAGAGAATAGTGTTGATGCGGTTCTTACTGTTCACACTGGGGTTCTGCTGTGATCACATCCTGAACTCTGTACCGCGCTCGAATGGGCTGCAGTTCATCTATCGATATTCTCACGGTATCATTTTTAAAAGATGAAATCAGCAAAAGAAGCTTTGTCTGTTCAAGGAAAATGAAAAATGTTTTCTTCCAAACAACATCAAAATGTTTACAAAACTATATGTTTATAAGTCAATTCTTCCTTAGTAATTACACATTCTTACATACAGTACATAGATTTAAACTGGTAGAGTTCACACCTGAGTGTCACACTCCTGCAGTTCGACTCGTGCTCCCTTCTCTGTGAGCACCAAGGTGTCCAGAAGAGCTCGGTGCTTAATATCTGGACCTTGCATCTGTCGCCTTGAGAAAAGAGAACATTTCAATTACTGATGCAACATAAATTAAAACTTAATGTTTATGACTGAGTATTATGTCTTCTGTCTCTCCCATGTGGCAGAACATACCTGTAAAATGCAACATCTTGACTCTTCTTGAACCTATCTTTGGGCTGATCCTCACCAGGAACAACACTGTGGACATACACGGAAGGAGAGTTGGAGCATGTCGTAACAGTAAGTGCAAATCAACCTGTGCTATCCCTTAAACCACAAAACAATTTTGTCAAATATGACTTTTTTTGAGGTTACCATTACATGAACTATTCAATTTTATATAAAAACGATTTTGTTTCTATGTGCTTTAAAAAGGAAAAAAAATGACATAATACACACTAAAACTTAAACAGAATAAACTAAAATGGGTTATTTGTAACCGATCCCCTCTGAGCTTAAGGTCGGAGGTCTTGCACAGTTTAAAGTATCAGAACACGCAGTTGTTTATACCTAACCACGACTTGACCCCCGTCTTCAGCCATTTTCAGCAGACGTCAGATTAAACGTTGTAATTTTCCATTCACCAACTATATTGCTGTACAAATATATACTGTATATATATATAATATCTCCTTGTATATGTCTCTGACACTGACAGCAGCCGGCGTCTCATACAGGAAAATGAAGAGCCAAATCGAAACTTAAGGCCAATGACTTCCGGTAAAAGTTTTCAAAACAAAACTATCGATCGGAAGTACACACTTACATCATTGTGGCAATTGTTGATAATATTAAAAATATTAGGAAAAGTGCGTTAATTTACAATTCATTACATCAGTATTTAATTTTCTGTCCTGGTAAACGTGTGAATGATCTCTTATGGGAATGTTGGTTGGTAACGAATCAGTTTCATAGGTAGTTTTATTTTGGCAAACTTTTATCATATTGACATTTACACTGATCCACTAAAAGTTGTTAAGGTTCTACAGATTATTCTTTATAAACATTTTCTTTTCACCTTTTGTCAAGTTTAAGTTATCAAAGTTGTATCTTACATTTTTTGGCAATCTTACGTTTTCATTTAATATTGTTTTCATTGTAAGATAATTATAAAAACAAATTTAAAAGAAATCTCATTCGGAAAAAGTAACACTTTAACTACTGACCTCTAGCGGCGTCAGTGGGGAGTGAAGCTTTAACCGGAAGTGGAGGCGGATGCGGCTGCAGCTGCAGCTCTGTTTTCCAAGAGTTACCAAAATGACAGATGCACAGCGATTATGTTTGCTGCTTTTTCCGCTACTTTTTCGCTTCTCTGCCGGGGAAGAGGTGTCCGTGTGGAGCGTGGACATCAACCCGGTTAGTCTCTTACCTTAAACCTTTTGATTTCAATGGTCTCAATGTTGAATTCTCCCTTTTAGAGCTACACCAGCAGTGACAGCAGCTGTTAGCTATACTAGCTTCATTGGCTTCTATACAGCATCTATAAATGTATTTACCTGAATGTAATTTTTCTGACATGGTTACAATTTGAAAGTTCTTTCACCATTTTGACGGCACTGTTCATTTTGCTTAGGGTGCTTATAGAAAAATTGCTGCTTTGAGTCGGTAAATGAACCTCATTCTCCTATTTAAATAAAGGTTACAGATGTTACGTTAAAAACAGTACAGAAGAAAACTAGAATATTTTGAAAAACTAGAATACTAGATTAATTAACAGTTAACAAGGATGAATAAGGTTATGAGGCACCAGACAACAATTTATTTATTATCAAATAGAACTTTCAGCTCGGTCAAAACTGGATACAAATTATTTAAGAAAAATAAAAGTTAACAAAACCAGAGATCTCCACAATCTTAAAGGCTGAAAACGTGATGGCGTTGACTGTTGTTTCATGTATGTAGTTTGGAGTATGTAGCAGATACAGCCATGATGCAGCTGACACGGTTTTCTCTGTTTCTTTTTCAGACACAAAATGTTGTTTTTCGGAAAACGCTGTATGCAAACACGACGATTTACATGAAGTGTGAGTGACTGCACCTTTCAGTCATTACGTTGACATGTGAAGGGCAGGTATACAGTATAATTACAGACACTCATTTTCTGTTTATATAGTGTAAGTTAAGGTGAGGTTAAAGAATACCACCGAGTGGTCAATGTGCGTAATCACTGTTTTCAGTTACTGTGAATAAAAAAATAATGCAACTCATCATTTATACTATCATTTGTAACTGCTGAGACTAAATGTTTGCTGGACACGGTCAAGACTAGACTGAAGTCTGCGAAGGAAAACCTGAATATTAATAATAAAGACTGGAAAACAATCAAGTTGAAAAAATCTGTAAGATGTAAAAATACATGTGATATGATGGGGAATGGTCCAGTGAATTAAGACGAAATATGAAAAAACACCTTCAGCGTTCAGCAGTAAAACTGAATCACACACTTCGAAACTGATTAGAGTTCTTCACAAGAACGACTTGAATATTTTAAGGTGCACAGAGACCGGCCGTATATCTTTTCTTGAATATAAGAACTTAAGAAAGTTAACTACAAACTGCAGCTACGTGCTAGAATGTTAAGTTAACTCAAACATGAACAAAAGTAAAAAAATAAAAGCATTTTTCGTTATTACATAACAGGTTCTTTTTGTTTGTTTGTTTTTTTGTTTGTTCAGTTTTCCAGAATCCACAGCTCAGTACCATTGGCTCCTGTTCAAAAAACCTGGCATTTAACATCAGCTGGTATCTGCGCTCCTCTGTTTGCTACAACGAGGTCTTCAACACTCCTGTAAGTATGTAAACATTTCAGTCTGTGGTAGTTTTAGATCTTTGTCCTTTAGCTTTTCCTGAACAGCTGCTGCTTTTAGTTATTTTTCTCCACATCATCATCTGTCTTGATGCAGATGTTTTTTTTGTGGTGACTCATTATCAGTTTCTTTCAGGTGCTAATATTTCTATGATCTTCTCGCAGCATCATGAGAATCTTAAATTTGTTTTTATATTATTTATCAGTATTTAACTGGCTTCCTCTCTGTGCAGGACAACAAAGCTACAGAGATGTTTGGCAGAGACCACATGCTGAAAGAAGGCTGGAGCGGCTTCTACAGTCAGGGCTACATGTTCTTTGAAAACTGCTCCTCTCTCTTCATGCAGAAGGTTTGGAAAAATAGTGTTGACAATAATCCCAACTTCTAGATCACTTGGTTTACCTAACAAAGGGGCAGTGGTGACTTAGCTGCCAAGTTACCACTGAGGTGCTCTGAGCATGGCACCGTCCCCACACACTGCTCCCTGGTCCTTAAAGCTGTTCACTTTGGTGATGGGTTAAAAGCAGAGGTCACATTTCGTTGTGTGCAGTGGTGTGCTGTGTCACAGTGACAAGGAGTTCACTTGCACTTAAAATCACCCTTTAAAACTAAAGTTTGCTTTTGCACAATGACCTTTTGTCATTGTCTTAAAGTACAGAAAATATAACAAATTAAACATTTACTAAACAATACTGAATGAAAAAATAATTGCTCATCTTTTTTTTGTTTCCCCTCTGCATGATGTGCCAGACATTTCCAGTAGGGGGGATATGTTAACAGGCGTTATTAGTGCAGATACAACAATAATCCAACATTAAACTCTAAGTATTCTCAGGGAGGTTTTTAATATGTACAGAAAGGTTGTATGAGAACTTTATCAGTAGACCTCCATACAAAAGTAGTTGATTTGGACTTTAACTGTCAGTTAAAATTCAGTGCTGGAAATATTTTTCATTAGCATGTCAGGACGTATGCAGTACCTCTTCTTTGTTTCTTGTGTATTTTTCCAGGTGTATTATCCCGATTTCCAGCCTTACCAGCCTCTCACCAGCCTGAAGGTAAATGTAAATGTCCTTCTAATACCATTTTTCACAAACACAGCTGAGTGTGAGTATTGACTGACTGGAGCAACTGAGAGTCTAGTTGAATTTAGTGAACAGAACTTACCAGAGCTTCTGCCCTACAGATCAGAACAATCCAATGCCATTGTGTTTGTTTTATAAAAAAAAAAAAAAGTTTTTTCCTGTCTACTTTTCCAGGATGAACCGTCAAATCAGAGCTTGGTTTGGCCAGATAAACCAGTAAGACAGGTGTTATTTCTCTTTACTTAAACCTTGTTCCTCATTCGTTTGTTGACCTTCTGTTCTGTTGGTTCTGTCTGTGTGATTTCAGGACAGCAGTGCTGTGGCCAAAGCCTGGAAGGACAGTCCTTACCTGTTCATTGTCAACGTGCAGCCCATGTTTCGTGGAGATAATGAAGACGTGGGGCCTGAGCAGCTCAACTTCGCCTTTACAAGTGAGAGCTGTTTGTGTTCAGGCTGTTCTCAGGTCACTGAGGTTCAGGAAATAACTCAATCTGCTCACCTGATCTCACAGCGGTTGTACAAAAATGTGTCTGAAGCAAAAAAAAAAGAAAAAAGAAAAGAAGTAAAAACTCTGATAAAATGTTTTTGATTTTAAGAAGAAACTATGTCAGCAGTAGTAACTTTTTTCTGTCTCCGTCCAGTGAAAGTTGAGATGAAGGGACCACATGACTACTCCTCTCCTGCAGACTGGCCTCTCATGATGGTACGTTATATATTATGTAAAGTATTTAACTGAAGTAAAGTTAAACAAATATGTCAGCAAAAATATACCTACTAGTGAAAAAGGATTTCCGGTATCGTCATCGACCAGTGAGTCCCAACCGCTGTGCCGTGGCCCTCAAGTGTGACATGTAAGAGCTACAGGTGTACCTTGGAAAATGATCTAATTTCACCTTATAGGTCTGAAAACTATTTTTTATTTACTGCAAATAATTTGTCCTCGGTCATCAATGTAGCAGTGACAGGCAGAACAATTTAAAACGTATCCACTAGATGGCAGCAGATGGTTACAAAAACAACAAAAAAGAGAGACTGTCACACTTGAATGTGGTAAAAACTAAATCTGACAGTCTTGACACCACCACTTGAACCGACCGCGAATTACATATATATATATGTATATATATATGTATATCTTCTTTTTCTTTCGGCTTTGTCCCTTTTTCAGGGGTTGCCACAGCAAATCATTGATTTCCATCTCTCCCTGTTCTCTGTATCTTCTACTCTGACTCCAACTACCTGCATGTCCTCCCTCACTGCATCCATATATCTCCTCTTTGGCCTTCCTCTCTTTCTCCTACCGGGTAGCTCCATCTCTAACATTCTTCTACCAATGTATCCACTGTCCCTCCTCTGCACATGTCCAAACCATCTCAATCTGGCTTCTCTAGCTTTTTCTCCAAACCTTCCTGTCTGTGTTGTCCCTCTAATGACCTCATTCCTGACCCTGTCCATTCTTGTCACTCCTAAAGAGAATCTTAGCATCTTTAACTCTGCCACCTCCAGCTCCTCCTCCTGTCTTCTGCCTATTGCTACTGTCTCTAAACCATACATCATGGCTGGTCTCACCACTGTCCTGTAAACCTTTCCCTTCACCTTAGCTGACACTCTTCTGTCACAGATCACTCCTGACACTTTTCTCCAGCTGTTCCATCCTGCCTGTACTCTATTCTTCACCTCTCTTCCACAGTCTCCGCTGCTCTGAACAGTTGATCCTAAGTACCTAAACTCCTGCACCTTCACCACCTCTGCTCCTTGTAGCCTCACTATTTCACTGTTCTGCCTTTCGTTTACACACATGTACTCTGTCTTGCTGCGACTGACCTTCATTCCTCTTCTTTCTAGTGCAAACCTCCACCTCTCTAGGTTCTCTTCTAGCTGCTGCCTACTCTCACTACAGATCACAATGTCATCTGCAAACATCATAGTCCATGGGGACTCCTGTCTAATACAAAAGCATTTGGATCCTCATCCTCATTATTATGAAACTGAAATCTCTCTCCTCTTCCTCACAGTTCTTCATGGTCATGTGCATCATATACGTCCTGTTCGGAGCCCTGTGGCTGCTCTGGTGCGCCTGCTACTGGAGGGATCTGCTCAGGATCCAGTTCTGGATTGGTGCCGTCATCATCCTGGGGATGTTGGAGAAAGCTGTGTTTTATTCAGAATACCAGAACATCCGTTACAAAGGAGACTACGGTCAGTCATATTTCAGCCCTGTGTTTGATTTGATTCTCCGTTGTGACTCTTTGGTTTGTGTGTTTTTTCTCTCTTCAGTTCGAGGTGCAGTGATTTTTGCTGAACTTCTCTCTGCTCTGAAGAGGTCTTTAGCACGAATCCTGGTCCTCATTGTCAGTCTTGGCTATGGTATAGTCAAGTAGGTCCAATCTTAGTGTTTTTTATTTTTTTAATTTTATCTGTGTTTATACAGTGTGTTGGCTGAGTAACCCTGTCTTTAAAAGACTGTTCTTTTTTCTTTTTTTTGTAGGCCCAGGTTAGGAACCACAGTGCACCGGCTGGTGGCTGTTGGTCTTCTCTACCTTCTCTTCTCTTCTGTTGAAGGTGTGCTGAGAGTGACGGGGGTGAGTGTCGGTCAATATGAAACACTCACTGTTTAAAACTGGCGCAGATCTAACAATCTGTGTAAATGATATGATGATGATTAGAAGAGACGGTGAACAGGGACAGTTATTCTGGGCTTCGGTCTCCAGGTGGCAGACTAGTGATGATTAAAGGAAAAGATAGACATAGATGTTTGAGAGGTCAGGGTTGATG